AAAACTACTAATAGCCACAATATGGTTAATTCTGACATTATGCTGAGGCTAAAAAAATCATTGAATCCAAGAGTACATTTTCTATTTATATTAAATTCTAGCATAGAAATAGTTTATAGTGATAGAAAAAAATGAACTGAGAGAAATTTTCTATGGTAGTTAAAGGGGTGAATACAATTGAAAAAAAATCACCTAATTGTGTATTACAAACTGCACTCATGGTTATATGTAAATTATAACAGTATATTTGTGGTTTCATTTTCTGAAGTTTGAGTTACTTATCTCAGTCTGAAAATATTTCTCATAAATTCCAGAAATAAATAATGCGTACATTTTAAATTGCCATCATGTGCAGCATTACAAAAATCTCATGTCCTCCCACTCTGTCCTGCTGATGACATGAACCATCCTTGTCGCTAACATATTCATGCTGTACATGTCACCTGCCCTGTGGCAATTAAAGAGACAATGTTCACATAACTTTTAGTGTAGTGTATTGTTATAATTGTACTATTTCATTATTAGTTATTGTAATCTCTTACTGTACCTAATTTATGACTTAAGCTATATCTTAGCTACACACATAGAATAAAAACATGATATCTAAAGGGTTCAGTACTCGCTTCAGTTTCAAGCATCTACCAGGGGTCTTGGAATACATCCCTTCAAGAAGAGGGAATTAATGTATATTTGAACTGTCTAACAAAAAAGAACCACCTCAAATATAACCAGGTGGGATATATTTAGACCTTAAAGTGAGTTTTACATAGCTATAGAGTAAAAGATAGGAATTATTATTTAGATCCTGTCATGTGTCAGAGTGTATGAGACACTTAACATAGAAGAATCACACATCCCAGTGAAATACTGAGTAATCCTAGGAACCAAATTAAGTTCTGCAAAATTTCTTATTTGATCCTTTCAAAAGCAGGCATTTCATGACAGATGAAACTTTTAAGGAATTTTCATTTCTAGGTCGACTAATAGTTTTCCCAATAGTTCATCTTGAAAATACCCATCCAATTTAATAGTACAGTAAAGAATTTCTACATAAATATTTGAATTTTATGTTAACAAAATTATATTTGCAAATTAAAGAGCTTAAATAGTGATTTATATCTAAAATTTATATATGACAATGTAAATACATAAATGTTCCAACTTAAAGCAAAACAATAAATTGTCCTTTGAACAACAACAAATCTTTTAATAGAATTTTATTTCAGGAATATAACAATCCAGGAAAATTCCAGATGTTCATTTTATAAAGCCAAAATGAAGAATAGAACAAGAATAATCTATAAAACAGAAGTTGTTCTTTGGAGGAGAAAAATGAAGTGTTCAGGAAAAGAAAAAATGGATTTACATTTTTGAAAGAGTTAAGTGTAAAAGATAAAAGACTCTTGAGTTTGGAATCTATTATCCCTGTGATTGTTGATTAACAAAGATATGGCCCTTGATACTTTCATTTAGCACAATAAGATGTCCATAATTTCAAGGGTTTGTTTTTTCTGTCATTTTATGTTTATATGACATCTTTTGGAAAGAATTCTTTTTAAATTTCTTATTCTCAACTGCCAGTACTTCTCCTTTACCCATAAAAGCAACTCTGAACTTTGAGTAGAGCATATTATTTAAAACATTTTATAATCTGAACCAAAGTTATCTTACCTCTATCTTCTACTTTTCACTCTTGCCCTTTTTAAAGTATTAAACAAATTTATTTAGCTCACAAATTTGGAGGCAGAAAACTTCAGACTAAGTGGCTGCCTGATTCAGCCTGTAGCGGGGCTTCCCTGGGCAGGGTTAACACATAATAGATGGCATTATGGTGAACATACATGGAAAACTGAGAGATTGCATGGCAAGACTTAAAGCCAGAGACTTCAGACAGGGCATTCTTTTTGTTTTAAAAAAATACAAAGTATTAATAGCAAAAAACAGCATTAGAAATGATATAAAATTTCACTAAACAAAGTAATAGAGATTCAATGCTGGTTATCTTCAAATTAGCTGTTCAGGTTACCAGGTATAAATATGCAAGATTGGTTTAAAGAAGAAAAATAAAAACAAAAATTTGTAAGAAATCAAAAAATGTAAGCATTAACTGCTCCTTCCAAAGGACCAGCAGAAATTGGCAGTACAATTACCCAAACAAGTACAATAGTGAAAGGGAAAGACTGTTCAATGAAAGGAAAAACTGGAATGAGGAAAGGGATAAATGGAAGAAAGGAAAAAGATGTATTCATGTGTATATGCGGAGACTATTCTTGCTCTTTTGTAACAACCTTCTCAGGAGAACTAACCAGGATCAAAGGAGAACTGTACCAGTTCCTTTTGAGGACAACATCCCAGGCACCTAAATAAATCCCACAGGCCTTGCTTCTAAGAGATGAGACTGTCAGATTCTCTACCATCACAATAAAGAGAAAGCCTCCAACACATTCGTAACCATAAAATAAAAGAATCATTTCAAGGCATTTCTGAGCATTGTCTTGTCAGTAATAAACATGGAGGTATTTTTAATCTACTTGATACACAGATTAAGATAAAGCAAAAAGTAGCAATGTGGGTATGAGAAAAACCTCACAAGTGATGCAAGAATTAAATATAAATTTGTGCAATCTTTAATTTTTTAACAAAATTTTTTCTGGTAACGTTCTGATAATGGATCTGCAGTGGTATGTATTGTGATTGTGATTTCACTTGCATTTTTATAAGAACTGCTGACGTTCAATGTTGTTTCATGTGTTTATTGATGAACAGCCGGTAGGTTTTTATTTTTTATTAAGTTTATTGGTACATTTTAGGTATACAAAATGACCAGTGACTGCACTCATCATAAGAAACTTGTACCTGTACATGATACATCTTAATTTCTCTTTTTACCCATTCCTCTCTCCTCCCTTCAACCCACGTTCCCTTCCTTATTTACAAAGCTTTGTTGAAATTTTATCGTGTTTTCCTCATTTTTATTTTTCCTTCCTTTCACTCTTCATTCCTATTCTCCTCTCCTTTTGAACATTATTTCCTGTTTCACCATATCTATTACATATCTTGGTTCTTA